TGTTGCCTGTGGAGTTACAATCGAGAATCCATTTGAAGGAGGGGTTTGTACAAGGTCTATAAATACCATCCCTCTTTTCCTTCAGCACAATTGATAAAACACTGACAGGCCCAGGAGATGTCTTTATCTTAATGGCTTTTAGTATCTGCAACACATTTGCCTCTTGTATGCTAATAGAAATTTAAAATATCGAAGATTAATACTGGAATTTCCTCTAGCAGTTACTCTTGAGTAAGAAAGAAGCCATAAGCTATGTCTAAAATTTCAGTTTCAGCTTCTGGATTCCCTTACATTTTTTTTCCAGTTTATGAGGGGAAAATTAGTCACCTATGATTACCACAAGTTTCTTTTAACGTGCAATTCTTATTTCTTTAAGACTGCAACATAACTGAGAACTGAATTGATGGTAAACTGCAGACTTACAGCACTATGCCTTCTGAAAATTTAAATCTTTTTTGTCTGACCCACAGAGATTCTTGTTTCATTTATATTATTTATAATATTTATAGTTGATTTATATCACCATCTATAGGCTATATTCTTTTACTCGAATGTTGAACCCTTGAATGTTGTTTTTTTTATAAATCTTCCTTGTTTTTTGTCTCAGACACTGTTCAACGACTTCTGCTATATTCTTCTCCTTTACTTTCTGCTCACTGTTTCTCCAATTCCAGGGACATCATAGCCACGTTTTTTTCCATTAAAGACAAGACGAAAATGGACAAAATGCAAAGTAAACAAAACAAGAACTGAATTTCAAAACGTTTAACAACTAAAACCAAAACTAAATAACATGAAAAACAAAACTGAAACCAAGCAGCAACATTAAATACCAAATACCCATTTATTTGTATGGTGCATGCATAAACATTTAAGCAGACTTTCAGAACTCAGCCTGACCTGCGGCCTGTATTACTCCTATATACTGCAAGTCTGACACAACCACTTACACATCGACATCTACACTCCGTTAAACTGGCGTTTTTACTTCCAGCTCATGCTCATTCTCTTCATTACCTTCCGTGCTGAAGTCTGGTTTCTAACAGCTTTTGAATATTACTGTATTCATGTTTTAAACAGAAACGTGTTTTCTCTTCACGCCCCCCGAGCCTGTAGATCCGTCCTGACTGCATGTCTGTTCTTCATGTGCACTTTGTTTGACAGCTCTGTGTTTTTAAACAAAGCTAGACTGGGGGTTACAGGTTTGAGTACAGAGCAGAAACCGAGACATGCCAGTTAATTCTCCCTACTTTGGTGCCAGGGTCACACTTTTCTCTCCTGTCAAACACCACGATTTGTCTGTTGTACACATATTCATTCCACTGAAAAGAAAGCCAGGACTGGACTATCTGTTTGCATCAGATCGTTTTTTAAAACTATCTGCTGCACGTATCTTTGTGCTTTGCAGAAGACACTAAGCCACTTCTGTTTTTTCCATGTGTCCTCATTTATAGGAAAGAAAGGAGAAGCTGTAAAGTTACAGCACAGAACAAAGAGAGAGACAGGGTCTGTCTTTGAGACTAGCATCCTGTGGAGGTTGAATCACTGTGTTCCTGTCTCACTAAAGGTACTGTGACATTGTTCCCCCAGTTACTGTATGTTGAGGACAACCCTGTACTGTGTCTATTCTCTTTCAATGTAGCCAATCACTCTGCACAGACAGCCCACTGAAAGGGAAGTTTTCTGCAGAGTGGAAATCTGAAGCCCTGTTAATGACTATGTGCTGTGTCCTCAGATTAGAGCTTGTAGCTGTTCCGCCTTGCATATTGTGTGCAAGACCTCCCTCATTACCACTGATGTGGTCCTCTTCGTCAGCTGGTTTCCAAGTAAATCTTGGAAGCCAATAGTACTACCAATAATACTAATTATTAGTATTCAGAATAGACTTATAATACTATGAGTCTATTCTGAAATTGCTGATATGGTTTGGTAGGCAAATTGCCTTACTTACCAATGTTACCAGCTACAACCACAACACCAACATAGTCTTGGCCTGCCCTTGTCAGAAACCAGTCTACTTTTCAGACAATGTTAGTCACCAGTATTCTGTTCTCAACTATGCGTCCTGGCTTCATGTCTCTCTGAATATGACAATTCTATTATTTAAGATTTAAGATCACTTTATTGGCCATATACAATTTCTTGCATTTCTTGCACACACTGACAGGGAGAGAAGCTTGGGATCAGAGCGCAGGGTCAGCCATTTGAGTAAGTACAGGTGCAGGAAATGATTTCTCATGCTCACCTGTTGGCTGGGATCCACATGTGACCTTGTACGACATCCATAAAGTTACAGCAAGCAGAAAAGTTGCTATA